GTCCTTTGCCACGTCACAAATTGTGACGTCAACTCAATGTAGATTTTAAACCCGGAAAATGAAAATAGCGCAAAAAAGCTTACAATTAACCAGTTTTCTCCAACAGTTAAAATTATCGGATGCTAACATTGTCTTCTATGATGTGCAACACAAACACCTCTGCTAAAATCTCAGAAAAAGTAGTCTGGGGTTTCATGACCCTTTAAAGAAAAAAAACAACAACAATGAAATCAAGGACGTTGTTTCCGGTTGTGGGAAGACATTCTTGATGACATACTTCATTTCTACTATCAGCATGATTGAAAAAAAAAAATCTCTTTATGTGCAGTAGGAAGATGTTTTTTTTTTTATCCAGCATTGTACTTATGTAGCCTAATGGCAAAATTGCAGCAATTTGGTATTGCACTGCCTGGTTCTCTAGGCTTGTTGTGTGTGCAAATGCCTGAGTAGAAAATAGCTCGCTGTCTGTACACTTGCAGTATACTTGCATACTAACTCTCTGTAATTGTCTGAATACAGCTGCCTGAACTGCCAGAGCAATTGAATACTTCAATTCTGTCCAATATGTCCAATAAAATTCAGTACAAAGCTTCCCCTGGTGAAACTTTTGCATAAATCCCTTACCCTAAGAACAAATCTCAATGAAACCGCACATTATGCAGCTTGTGTTATTACTTTTTGACCTGACTTTTCAGCTGACAGATGATAAAACAGGTGAAAAATCAAATAGGCGGTACATTGAGGAACCATATGTAGAGACCAGAATATCATAGAGAATTTTTTAACTTGGATCGGAAAGTTGCTACCTAGCAACCACTCAGAAAACCTTAGTGACCACTTGGCAATGTCCTAGCAACCACACTGTAACACTCAGGTGATACATTTAGCACGAGAAAGCACCACTTATTTCTTCAAAAAATTTGTTTAAAATACTATTGTAGTTTATAGTGTAGAATTATGGGATCCCATACAATGTTTTAACCTTTCAAAAACTCAAGACATTATTATTATTAACTATTAACAAGATAAAAACAGGCACTGATAAAAACTGCCTAAAGGAAAAATAAAGCAGAAATGACTCACAATCTACAAAGCGACATTATTTCACCTTCAAACTTGCAAAAAAATAATGAACAATTTATATAGGTGACAGCTAAGGACAACTTTGAACAGACATCAGATGTGACACTAGCTGAAGTTTGGCAGGTTATCAGTACTGCATTGTTCTGGATCGTTAATAGAATTTATTTTTTGTGATTATGCAAATTTCATTTTTGAAAGGCAAGTAAATTTGCCACTTAAATGCTTTATACCCCACAAACTCTCCTCAAATGTATACTATGTCCTCAATTAAATATATTACGTCAGGACCCTTTGTGTTTATAATCAGTGCTGCATGCTGGTCAGCTCTTATCAGTCACACAACACAGCAGCTCCATTTCCAGCCACTCACGTAATTTATGTTCTTTTAGTAGTTTATTAGCATTCAGACCATGTCCTTTGAGCCCAGCACTAAGGCAAGTAATAAATCATGACGTCTGCATTATTTGTTGTGTAAACTTACTTTTAGGTTGAGCTTTTGAGTTCAACATTTTATTATAACTCTTATGTTGGTGGTGTATCAACAACAATTTTACTGCTGTTTGTTCAGGTTTTCTGGATTCTGCTCAAGCGGATGTTGTAAAATCAACGGAGCAGCAAAACAGGACCAAATGTGCAAATAATAATTAACTTTAATACAAAAAAACATTTGGATTTATGCTGCAATTACTAACACCAAATTGGACGTTACACACCCTGCATATTCCTTGATAATAATTAAATAATCTTTACATATATATATATAATTATAAATATTCCCACAAAATTAGCCAAGCAATGATTAGTGCTGTCACAGGAATTCTGCTAGCCAGAGACATAGAAATTTGTATGCGCACATCCTAGAGTGTTCTGAGTGGTTCAAACACAGCTCAGGATCGGAGGGGCAGGTATGTGTGGGTGGTGGGGTTGTGAATGACTACACCCCGTCTCTGGAGTTCTCGGAGCACGTCCAGTATGGAGTCCAGCTCCAGTCTGAAGACCTCCAGCTCTTTAGCCCTGCCTTGAGCGAGTCTCTTCCAGCGCTCCACCTCACCGTGCTGCTCCTGTTCCACCACCCGCCGTGTGACTGCAATCACCTGGAAACACAACGGCACATGACGTCAGTGTACTCAATCATAGCGCAGAGGTTGTCAATCAGAGTGCTGTTGAGGTCCATTATAAACAACTATATATACTGTACAGCACCAGAAAACTAGACGTGTGCTGACTGTTTTTCAGTTCATGTGTGTGAAACTGTAAGATACTGTTCGTATTAGTACACTAACGTTGAGAAGTGTAGTAAAGAATTTTAATGTCTTTTAAAGAAATCACTTATGTGCATCAAGGCTGCATTTATTTAATCAAAAATACAGTAAAAATACAGTAATATTGTAAAATGTTGTATATTTTAAAATTCGATTAATTTCTGTGATGGCAAGGCTGAATTTTCAGCAGCCATTACTCCAGTCTTCTGTGTCACATGACCAGAATGTTAAAAATAACAGCATTATTTTAAACAGAAATTCTTTGTAACATTATAAATCTCTTTACTGTAACTTTTAGGGATGTAACGATTCACTCAACTCACGATTCGATTCGCGATACTGATTTCACGATTGGATTTTCTCACGATTGTTTCTAAACAAAATTAGATTTAAGACAAATTATAAATGAAAAGGTGTCCTTTTATTATTGCTTGGACAAAATGCTGCACCTTTCTTTGTAAAACAGAAATATGTCAAATAACAAAACTAAATAGAAATTTTAAAACATTTAAAAATTTCATTTAAAAATTTCTAAAACTAATCAAATAAATAAGACGACAAAATCTCTTCATATAAACAAAGGCTACCTGTGCTCTTTCCATTCAAAATAAGAGGCAACCACTGCATTTTGATTGCATAATTTGAAATTTAAAAACAAAAGCAGAATGCTCTGACTTTAGTTTTGTGAAACTATACTACATAAAACATCTGCACGAAACAGCAGCGCAGCGGCTTATGAACGCTGCTTTAAAGGGGTCATATGATGTTGCTAAAAAGAACATTATTTTGTGTATTTGGTGTAATGAAATGTGTTTATGCGGTTTAAGGTTAAAAAAACACATTCTTTTCCACATACTGTACATTATTGTTTCTCCTCTATGCCCCGCCTTTCTGAAACGCGTCAATTTTTACAAAGCTCATTGTTCTGAAAAGCGAGGTGTGCTCAGCACGGATCAGCTCCAGGCATGACGAAGCAGATATCGTCCTCTTTTGGAAGGCCAAACAAAGTAGTTTCGCTTTCACAACGAAACACAGCACCTTCACGACATGGCGGCGGCGGCAACAACAATACTACAGCGACAATAAAAGTTACGCCTTCTTTCTTTGCGTGAATATTTGGGCGGCGTTTTAGGTAGGTGTGGCTGACTCTTAACTTTTATAAAGATTTGAGAGATCCAAACAGATCTTTACAGATCTTCTTTATGCACCAAGAGCTTGTAACTCTCCAAAGAGAAAGGAAAAATTTAAATAGCATCAAATGACCCCTTTAATATGAATTATACAGAGACGAGATGAAAAGAAAATATCATCTAAACTTTTCTAAAGACAGTCAGTTCCCCTCAGATACACATTCATATAAACTCCTACCCCCAAATGTACTGTATAGCGATTCGTTTAACATCTCAACCTATCTGAATTGTCACATATTTGTATTGATTTTCAACCGGCTCACGGTGATTCGTTACATCCCTTGTAACTTTTGATAATTTTAATGGATCTTTGCTTAATAAATGTATTAATTACTTTTTAAAAATCTTACTGAACCAAACCTTTTGAACTGAAGTGTATGTATAGTGTGTGTAGGTGTGTGTTGCAGTATTACCTGCTGTAGCGGTTTCTCACGCTGACTGTAGCGGAGCTCCATGGACTGAATCTTCTGCTCCAGGCTAGTGAAGTGCCTTAGTTCAGGACCGTGAGCTTCTTTGGCCTGTTTCAGCTCTTCCAGAAGCTTAGACAGCTATTGACATACACATAACAGGAAATAATAGAGAAAATTTAAAATCCTGTGTTTAAAGAAGAATGGAAACTGAATCACTAAACCTTGGTGGCAAAGTCTCACTACCGGATTCTGCAGGGTTTCCTCTCTGATCTTAGACACAGCATCTTTGGCTCCCTGGAGCTCCTTTACTTGCCCCTGTAAATGCTGCACTATAATCTGAATAGAGAAATTCAGAATTCAAAGATTCATAACACAAAGCCTTTATCCAAAGCAACTTACAATGCAAAAAAAAAAAAACTTACAAATTATATAATTTATTCTTAGCAAACAAACCCATGACCTTGATGTTTCTACTACCCCGCCAAGGCAACACTTAGCACCAAATAAATGCACATAGCCATATAAATAGAACTGTTGGAGTGACCGACCTCCTGTGTGTTCACTTGATTGGTGAGTTCAGCGACTTTGGAGGAGGAATGCTCAAGGGCATGGCAAGCCAGAAGGCGTTCAATCTCTTTATGATGCCCAGCCTTGACCAAGGCAAGCTGCTCAGCATTCTCTTGAATCCTGAAAAAAGAGAGACATTTTTATTATGTATTTAATGCATGTCATTATACATAATATACATTCTTTACATCCTACATTGCATTACAATTCTTCTGTTTTCATATTATAGTATTATAAAGAATCATATTGTTATTATATAGAAAATAAAGCTTATTTTATTTTATTTTAGGATCTTTGTTTTTTTGCAATCCAACAATAGTTTTGTGACAATTAAGCACATTTAAGCCACTCGCCCCCAACTGCCTGTATCTTATTGTAAACTTAAGTATAGAAAATTAGATTTTGTTTCTATTTTAAAGTACATTTGTAAGAATAAATCATAAAAGTCATTTGTTTGTCATCATTTGTTGTGCTGAAAATGTATGCTGAATTAATTGTTGGGATGATTTTCACTACTGTTACAGTGGCCTTAATTTTCTTGATGACAAATATTTTTTTCTTTTGGCTTATGGATTTGACAAGCTCAAATCCCGTGAAGAGAACCGTGGGATTTGATTTCTTGTAGTAGGGCCCTGTGAGCTATTGTTCATCTTTTGTTTGTTCAGAACACTTCAAGGGTGCTGTAAAAGGTTTATAAAAACATGACTGAAGAAGCACACCAAAAACGTTACCTGAGGAGCTGACTCTGTGCCTGTGCGACTGCAGCCTGCAAGGAAGCTTTCTCTTGTTCTCTCTGTATCTCCAGCTGTTCCAATCTCGTCCTCAAACTATCGTTCTCCAGTAGCACCTCTGAGATGTGTGAGCCTGAGAACGCTCCAGGATGGTAGTCTTTCTCATCTTGGGTAGCGGGGAAAGTCTCAGCTTCAGATTTTTTGGCCTCTTTGGCTGCGCCCAAATGCCGCTTGGGCTCATTGGTGACACGATCAAAGCTAGGAACCGACAGCATGGTTCTCCTTTCCCTCTGCAGGCGCTCTACAGTAAGGCTCAGCTCCTGAATAGTGCGGCTCTTGGAGCTCAGTTCCTGGGTCAGTCTCTCAATGTGGGTTGCTTGTGCCGCCTCCGCATGGAGCTGGTGCCGTGAGGGGCTGCGGACAGGCTTGTCTGCTTGCATCAAAGACTGGGCCTGGCGGAATTGTTCTTGCAGAGAGGCCACTTCTGCCTTGAGGGCGCTCTCTTGCTTCTGATAGGGCTTCTTCACTTCCTCCATCTCTGTAATCAACCCCTGAGTTTGTGACTCAGATGATTCTGATGAGATAACCCGATTGTTCTGGCTCTTCTCAGCCAAATGCTGCTCCAGATCTGAGATCTGCTGTTCATACTGCAGCTGAAGATGGAGAGAACACATATCAAATGCAAACATATTTAATTGAGCTGGCCCAAAAAACATTGCTCAAACGTAACAATTCACTAAAATGGACAGTTTGAACTAATTCATAATAATGAACCAAGGTGGATAAGTGCAAGCCAAATGTTTGTATCTAATGATGTTCCTATTTTGCATGCTGTGTTAAGGAATTATATGTGTAGTTTCATGTGTCGATTAAGTGACTCAAGAAATACAATCATAATGGCCATGATACCACATTAAGTGACATAAGGTATTCCTCCTTGTTCTGGAAGCACTAGAATTCAAGTTTGAATCTTTTTTAAATAGTGTTTGATGTATGTAAATGTATGTTTGCAAATGTATGTTTGTTATTTCTTTACTTTTATTTTTGTGATATGGACCTAAGGGTCTGAAATAAAGAAAGAATTTAAAAAATCTTAATGTCCCTGAACCATTGAACAGCAGTGTAAATCAGCAGATATATAGTAATTATTCAGTTTATCGCCAAGTCTTACATGCCATTCTCATGTCAAGTTTCTATTTCTACCATTCAAGTCATGTGGGCACACAGCAGGGTTTAGAAATGAGAGAAATTATGCCATTCTGACAGCACACTCGAAGCCCTATCCACTTAGGACTTTAAATAGAAACTTAATTTTCTCTGCAAACTTATTTGCTGGAAATAGATTGATCCAGCTGTGAGCTCTGGTACAAAACATGCTTGGAAAAAAAGAGAAGTAGTTTGAGTGTTTTTTTCCATTACTATTTAAGAACGGAATCTGTGTACTTCAGTCCGTGAGCTCTGGGCCACCATGTTCCAATAGTTCAAACTTGTTTTGATCGTATAGATTGTATTGACTGAACATTCAGTGCTTTTAAACTAAATTCCTTTTGCTCTATTCAATACCGAATCTGAAATGAGTACTTTGATTCTGTGATACTGTTGTTCCACTGTTCTGAGACTGCGTTTGGCTGCTTCATCGCGGCCTTCTAGCTCCGCCCCCAATCGATGGACACGTCTCTCCAACAGAGCTGCTGTCTGGGAGGAATGAGAGGCAGTTGGGAGACGGACATCTAATCCATTATCTTCTGTGCCGGTAGATAGCTCTTCCATCTGTTTGAGCTGAGAAAATTAGGAAATGGGAACATGAGTGATAGATGGAACAGAATCCAAGAAGTTTTATTGATGCAGCTAATATTAAATATTGCAAAACACTCAGGAGGTGGAATAGAAATCCATTCATGACTATTTTTAGTATTATTTAATTATTGGATAGATACAGTAGACAGGGACAGGAAATTTTTAATGGTTTGGGAAATGTTGCAAGCCAGACTCGAAACCTACATGAGCAACACGACTCAAAAAGAATAGAGAGAGTACACTAACCATTGAGCCAATTAAATACAAAGCTATTAATTTACTCATCCAGATGATCCATATCAGTCAAAGAAAGGAGTTTTAACATGAAGAGGAGGTGGCAAGCAGAAAGTGCTTGGAAAACTGACTATCCAGGTAGATGGTCTGTTACTCACAGACACGGTTGGATAATTCCACCTCTCAGGAAATAGAGCACAAAGAAGAACGTGCCCTGAATGAGCTGTACCTGCAGAATGAGACAAAAATATGTAGAGAGGCTGTGTCTGACCTGTCGTTCCAGGTCCTGGATTCTTTTAGCTTCACCCGCTCTCTCTTTTGCCTTTCTTTGTTGCTCATTGGCCCCCTTGCTGACCTCCATTTTTAGCTTTTCCACTGCCTTTCTTTGTTGCTCATTGGCCCCCTTGCTGACCTCCATTTTTAGCTTTTCCACCTGCTCAGTGAGCCTTTGAGTCTCAGCGCTGGCAGCTCGGAGTCTGGCCGCATCTTTGTCTAGTAGCTCCTGGTTCTCGGCATACCACTGCAGTCTCTTCTATACTAATGACCGAAATGCAAATATATTCAGCGCATGTATTACACTGAATATAGTTCCAGATAAGAATTAATTGGATTTGGTTTCTGGAAAGGCCATGAGTTCTTCTGTAATTACAGGAAATGTGAGAAGTAATGATCATCGTTATTCTAAATTCTGGTAATAGTGGTAATAGTGTCATTTTAAAAGTATGTTTAATTACATGCCTCATTATACTGAAATGCCGTAAATGATCTAAAAAATGAGAGACTACTGAGTTTTGTATTGTATCATTCACTGACATTTGTAAGACCTCACCAAAAGAAAATGTCCAGGAAAAGGGATAAGAAAATGAAACCTATATTTAATGAATGCATGTCATAAGAGCCATGTTTCAGCATGCCTCGTTCTAATAGATGTCAGAAAATGAACAGAGACAGAGAGAGAGAGACTTACCTGATGGTAACCCTGAATCAGAGTCTCCTGTTCCTTCATCTCTTTCTCTATCAGCTTGAGTTTCTCTTCAGTCACAGGGTCCGAAGCTTCACCAAAACTCCACTTTCGTTTGTTACTTGCCTCCTCGGCATGGTGTAACTATGGAATTAGCATTTAACAGTTCAGAACTTGGATGAATGACAGAGGATTGTTTGCTCAGATTTTAGGCAGAGGCTGCTAAGTTTACTGGATGCAGTAACTAAATAACAACACTACTAACTAAAATGTATTTTTCAAAGCATGGAAATGGTTACGTGTTTTTTTTTTTTTAATACAGTAGCTTTCTATTCAACACTTTTCTTTATGTGACATTGCTACATCTGCATGAGCCTTTCAACAGAGTGGGCAGAGATGTGCTGTCCTCCTCTTAGTCAATCTGAAATAGCTTTGGTAAATCCAATTCATTAAGCCGGTTCGTTTAGACAGGTTCATGTAAATGAACTGGTAACAAAATAAGCAGCAATTATGTGTTTGCGTAACAACTGCTTTTTGTAGTGAAAAAAAATCTTTAGTTACAGGTAAATATGGCTGTTTATCACAATGATTTCACTATGGCAGGTAACTGTCATAAAAATAATTGTAATTAATGATTTAAGTGTTTTTTTTTTTGTTAATGTCAGTAAACAAGTCAGGTTTATTTCACACAAAGGAAGAACGTTGGAAAAATGTCTATTCTCTTTATTCTAAATCTGGAGGAACAATTTCATCACCTCCTTTGAAGCTGGTAACCTGGCAAAAACATTTTGAGCTATGTGAACAGAGCTTGTTGTGCCCTCAGATCATATTCAGAAAACCTCACAAGACAGACAATTTGTAAAGTATGGAGCATTTACATAATGCACTACTGCATCAGAAAGGGCATTTCTGTAACCTAAACCGTAGAGCAATGCACTAGCAATGCCAAGGTTGTGGGAAAAATGGTCTTTAAGTTCATGCTTTAAGTTTTTTTATTCTGAATTACAATTATGTAATTGGAAGTTAAAGTGAATAATGATTATGGTTATCTTAAATAAGCCTGATTAGATAAAAAAAAAAGAAAAAAAAGATGACTAGGTTATTTAACAATTTAAAAAGGTCAAATGGTATAGTTTAGTGGCTCAGTAAGGAGTGAGCTGTGAATCATCACCATTGTGCCCTTAACCCCAGGTTGCTCCAGGCCCATTTGTCCCTTAAAAACGTTTATGGCGCCATTCGACAACAACACTGTATATAAGTCATGAATTAATTCTTCCTTATATCTGTTGTCAATAATCATTGTCAATATATTTCACCAGTAGGGTCAATAAAATGCTGCATGCCCCCATGTCCTGTTTTAAATTAATTTACTGATGAATCCAAAGTTGACATTTAGTGAGGGTCATTATTTACTAGTGCAACAAAAAACACTACCAATTTGTGCTCTGCATTTAACCCATTCAAGTGCACACACACAGCAGTGAACACACACACACACACACACACCATAGGCAGAGCAGCCACAGATATATGTCTGCTGTAGACGTTATGATTGCTTTATCAAAGCATACACTGGCAAGGAAAGACTGCCCTTCTTACCAAATCCACTTATTGTGGCAAACATACAATTTTCCCCACATTCACATTAATGAGAGCTGCCAGACAGCTGAAGGTTTTCTATTGATTTTTAACAAGAAACAAGCTCATATGTGCTTTAAGGCTGGATAAATAGGCCATGAAAATAGATGAACTCGAGTGGTTTTTAAGTTCTCCGTCAGCGGCAATTATAAAGTGGTAAAACAGACAGCTCCCTGAGGGTTGTACAAAGTCTGAACACACAAAATTACCAGCTGGTGATGTAGAGCCATGGCAAAATAATCCCCCAAAGAACAAAACTTTCTTATATTTTTTAATTTTCTGAATATATTATGTAAGTTTTACAGATATACAGGGGCTCACCTTGCTCTGCAACACATAGTTCTCCTGTCTGAGGGCTGCAAGCTCTTGCTTGTGTTCCTCTCGTAAATGATCTTCCCTCAGATGAAGCTCTCTCTCTTTTTGCACGAGCTGGAGACGGAAGCGCTCCAGTGATGAGCGCTCCTGCTGAAAGGTTGAACCACCATCCATCTTCTCTTGAATCACCTGATGCTGACAGACAAACAGAACAGGAAGTTAATGAGCCTGGGGATTTGATCCAATGCTCTGATTCAGTCCCAGTTAACACACTCCTGTCACTGCTTCGGGTGTGATCCTGTCTGCTTGAGGAGGGATGTTATCCTGTAGACTGCTGGCTTCAACCTGATGCTGTAGGAATGTAGCAAAGGACTGCACGGATGCAACCAGTTCACTGCTTAGTCTTAAACTTGTGTCTAAACCTGTAAGAGATGCAAAAAAGTAAAGAGGACCATGTATTACCAAGCAAGCAAATATGGCTGTTAATTTAAGTCATCTTTACCCCAAAAATTACAAGAATTTTTTTTTAACAATTAATATTATTTATTAGATTATTTTCCCTCTAAATTCTCATTACTGTAACAAAAACTCCAATAACACATAATTACTAAATAATTGAATAATTATCTTTATTTTGGTAAATATCGATACTTGTGATTAACTGTGATTAAATGTATTAATACATATAAACTGAACGTAATTAAAATTGCTAACTGACTGACAGCCCTAGTACATACTTATAAATGTTTGCATTTAATTAACAAGTTTTTTTTTTTGTTACTATTTAAGTCATGTCAGCTGTCATGAAAATGTTTCAATTTAATGAAGGTAATAAAAATTAATAAAATAAATTATAATAAAAATAATAAAAGTAATTTCATTTATGCAAAGTTTAGTTTGGTTTATATTATTATTGATATTATTTTTTGTATCTTTTAATTTTGGGGTTGAATGACAGTTTTGGTGAAGTTAACCCAGGTACCTTTGACTGTTTGTGTTTGGCTGAGGTTTTGAGTCTTTTTAGGGGGCTGGTTCTGAGCTTTCCTCTGTGTTAGAGAAGATGGAGGTTTAGCAGCATGCCGGGTTCTGCTGGGTGCAGGTGCTCTGGGTAATGCCCTGCTCTCAGGTTTTTTGGCCCTTGCTGATGGAACAGGAGTTTTTCTAGTGCAAGCTGATGCAAACGCATTGGTTCTGGCAGGAACCTGAGAAAGAGAAGTTAATATTCCATTATAATCTTCAAGAATGTGATTATCAAATTTGATGTGAATAAAGAAGCCAAGTAGTTACCCACTAAAATTATACGTCATTTACTTTGCAGAGTCCGTGCATCTATTTTTCTATTTTCATTTCTCAAAACCCCAGAAATTACAGGATCTAATTTATGGAGGAAATTCATGAGGCAAATGACTCATAATAGCAGAGTCTCTAACCTGACACTTCTTGGGTTTGACAGGAGGTGGGTCCACAGAGGAGCTGTTCTGTTCCTGCATTAGCCGTTTGACCTCCTCAGCGATGCTCTTCTGAGTGTATTGAAGAGAGGCTGGATGTTCCTTTCCTGTAAGACTAGCTGCATTTCCCCCTCCACAGCCCTCATTAGCAGAACTGAAAGGGATCTCGTCTGAAGACATCCTTAATGGACTATGATTCTCGCTGCCTCGAGGCACAGCCTCACTGTAAGACAAATACTTCTAAAGCTGCTGAAATGAGAATATATGACTCCTAGTGTGTGAAGGTAACTAGTGAACTCACATTATGGGCTGGAGAGAGAAGCCACGGGTGAATCCAATCGGCTGCATCAATTTCTCAGCAGTGGGAAAATCTGCGGTACATAAATGAGACCCTAGTGACAAAAATGGCACTATGGCTGGAGTCACACTAGCCAGTTTTCGGTTGTAGGCTTTATTTAGAATCATAGGGATTTGGTGTGCATTGCCGTGTCTCTCTAGGCCTTGGCAGTGACCAGTAAGCTGTCTCTCACACTGAAGTACTGACAAACTGTCATGTTGCTCATATACAATGCTCCTCAGCAAATGCAAAGCCACAGATCACAGATTTTGACTGTCATCCATGGTGAAATTGTAACTAAGCTTTTGTTTGGGGTTCACTTAAACTTAAATAACTAACAAAATGCGAAAGAGTCATAGCAGGGATGAAGTTATTATATCTCAAGCTGCGTTCACACTAGCAGCGACTTTGTCTGGCTGGCGATGAGGTTGCTAGTGGGCGTTCTCACTACTGGTTGCCTTGACAGCGAATCAGGTGTCTTGCCGCTAAATACAAACATTTTGGAGGCAAAAGACTAAATATAATACAAATATGAATTAAATCCGTACATACAAACAAACACGCCCCATCCGTCGCCAACGGCCGCTGTCGCGCTTGTCGCCGGAAATCGCCAGCTCTCCATTGAAATGAATGGAATCGTGTCGCTTTGTCGCTTGTAGTGTGAACGGGGCTTTATAATCAAAAATTGGATGACATTATAAATCCATCCTACTTCATCTGGAATTTCAGCAGCCATTACTCCAGTTTTCAGTGTCTCATCATCATTCAGAAATCATTTTAATACACTGAATTGGTGCTCAAAAAATTATTATTATTATTATTAATGTTGAAAACAGTTGTGCTACTTTATATTTTTGTGGATACCATGATACTCATTTTAGGTTCAAAATTTCAAAAATAAGGTTAAAAAAACAAATGTCATTTAGTTACATTTAAGTTCAAAAGAACAGCATTTATTTGAAATAGAAATGTTTTGTAATATTGCAAATGTCTTTACTGTCACTTTTGATCAATTAAATGCATCCTTTCTGAATAAAAGTATTAATGTGCTCTTAAATTTAAAAGTTCTCTTTAAGGAATAGTGCTTCTAAAGGGGCTGATCTTAATAATGCCATAATTTATAGCTCTTTTGTGCTAAATATTTACAAAAATAACAAAACTTCTGTTCTTACTTTGGCAAGCTTTACATGGATTTGCTAACAAAACGAGGCACTGCAAAACATGTGAGAAGGAATTAGAAAGTAATGCCACAGGTAGTAGTTTAGTCTGCCACCCCCTACATTCATATTCGATTAGGGTGACAGACCTCCAACAGAAGACAGCGAGATTTCAGGAAAAACATTCGCTGTGACATCCTCAACCAAAATCGAGTTTTTAGAGTCAGCTAGCAGGACTCATGCCACAAACAAGGCCAATGCTAAAAACCTCACGTTCTTCGGTTTCAAGCATAACTGGAAGCATTTGTGGTGGAAAAGCTGCAAATCAAAAGGTTTAAAGCGCAGACATGCCCACAGTGACTGGCAACAATTGGCTAGGTGCTGAGTCTGACCTGACTCCACTGTGGAGGCAGGTTGAAGTGTAGAGAGAGAGTGGGGAGTCCTGCTGCCCTCCGTTCGTTTGTCCTCACACTCCCCTGCTGAGCTGTTGATCTGCCTGTACGCCTCCTGCAGCACCTCAATCACACTCCCTCCACTCTGATCGTAAGATTGAACTTTAAAGATATGGAGGAGAGAATGTGTCAAATCACTTGTTGTAGGTTTACTTTAACAATATAAGCTTTAAGCAAAGAAACATGTTCTCAAACCTGCAGGTTCCAGTGCAGTTGTCTCTGTTTGTTTGGTGTTGGGCCACTTTTCTTTCCTGGGTGCCACACTGGGAACTGCAGAAGGCAATGCTCCATCCGTGGAATTTAGAGAGTCATGCAGTGACACTGGGACATACAGTAAGAACAGCATTTCACTTCCTGATTTGAACATTCACAACATTATACATTTAAATTGTAAAATGCTGTTTACCTTTGGCCAGCATTCCATGTCTTGCAGGTTTCTGAAAAGAAAAAGACCAGGAAATGGTTAGAATTAGGGCCTTTGAGATTTTTACATAAAATCACCTTATGTTTAGTTTTTACACCAATTGCGGTGTAAGGTGTGCCAACAAGTTTGAATATTTGATTCCTAAAACCTAAGGACCTGAAATTCAAATTAGCTTGTGCTATAATCTTTTTTTATAATAAATGTCATCCATAATAATTTTTTTCTACAAAAGCCCCCAGCAGCCCCAAATGAGACTGACCCTAATGGGTGACTGACCCAATGTAAAATAAAACTGCTTTTTCTAGGCCACTATTATGACTTGAGTATTCATCTTTTGACATTGTAAGCATTTGTCAAATATACTAATAATTTAGTGGTCAATTACTATTGATTTCTTTAGTTGAAAGAAAGAACAAATGCAATTATCTCTCCAACCATTATTTAGAAAAAAAAAACTTAAAAAAATATATGAAATTAGTTGAGAATTGAATGAATAAATATAAACTAAACAGAAAATAAAATAATTATAACAAATAAATAATTATTATCAAGGACATCAGTGTTAATGAGATCAAAACAAGTTTTCAACGAGATCAGAAAATAAATAAATAATAATAATGTGGAAAAATGTACTTACTGCACCATTAAACTGTATTCTTTTGCAGTTTTATTATTGTGAAAGCAATTTTGTCTCACTTAAAAATATCACAGATTTGTTTCTATTTTGATTAATTGTCCAGCACTCTTTAAATATTGCTTAATATTACTGTAACTATATATTTTTCAACCAGCATGTAATGCAAAATGCAGACAGAGGCCTGCATTTGTTTCCATGCATCTCTACATACCTCAGTATTGAATTCACCAGTTTTTTGGGCAGGGCTCATTTCATAGGTTTAAAGTGCATTAAAAACTTATATTCACCTTCTCTTGAAGCCCCTCTTCACTTTTCTCACTGGCCTCTTCCTCAAAATCTTCACTATATGCGAGAGATGCTGACAGAGAAGCAATATACATGTGTTTTATTGCTTCAGAAAGCATTAACAACAAAACACAACCCTTTCAAATTCTTATTCTCTTTGCTCTGCTCTTACCAGCAGAGTTTTTATTCTTTCTCTGTTCTTCCTCATGTATTGAATCCATTTCTTCTCTTCTGAAAGGAACACAGTGAAACTCAATCTAAAGAAGGGACATATGCAAATACTCCTTCACTAAAAGCATCCTTGGAATTCATTATGCTTTAAGTCATTAAAGTCATTTCATTTCTCCGTGCACCTTTGTGGGCTGCTGGTGGGTGTGGAGGACTCCTGTTCTTGATTCAGTCTGGGACAGTCAATGGAAGATGAGGACTCTTTCTTCAGGTTGGATAAAAACCTGGAATTCTCATCCTCATCTAATGTGTCCAGCCCTAGAGCACCTGCACTTGCTACCATATCAGACATCACCAAAGAATCTGTAAAAAAGCAATTACAGATGGTGCTGGTCAAACAAAGAGAGTGATGATAAATGTTATAAAATAGTTAAAGAGACCGACCTTCAGGCTCAAGACTGTCTCTGCTAAAGATGACTTGGTCTCTATTCCCTTCATTCTCCAAGAATAGCTCCTTCGGCTGTTCTTCATCCACCTCCTTAATGGACGGAGTCTTCCTCAGAGACTTCAGGAAGGACTTTCCTGTTGATGACATCCCTACAAGTCAAGGAAACATGTTGTAAGTATTAAATAGGCCATTTTTCCACACCAGACTTTCTTTAAAAAGTACAACATACCATAAAAGTTAATGTCTGTTCTTTACACTTCAAATAAATCAAACTATCCATAACAGACTTTTTGTTTCACTCGCCACTGAATAGAAGCAATTCATTGACATGCATTTCTGAGAATTCCAAAATGTTAAAACATACAAATGAATGTCTACATAGTTTATCAGACTTCTTTACAAAATAAAAGAAAATATTATGGCTAAATCCGCTGTTTAATATATTGGCCCTCTGTGTGGCACATTATCATTCTGAGCAGCACATATTCAATTAACTAGACTTCAGAGAAATTACTAACTGGCACAGTGCATGTTCTACAAACAGGCAAAATTCAAAGGATTTGTTTACAGCAAAAACTGGTGATGGCCTCTTCTCATCTACTGCATCATGTTCAGGACTTATGTTGGGGGATGCCCACTGATTGGACAGCTGGCTCACCCTATCAAGAGCTTTGCTACAAGGTTTAGGGGTGGGCTTTTTAGGGACTACGGTTTATAAGGGGGACAAACAAAGGAAGGAAAAACAACACGAAAGAAGTTTGTAAAACAGGTAGACACCACCAATGAGACTTAAAAAGTCAATGATACAAAAGTCCAATGATACAAAAGTCAAAATACAATGCTCAGTAAAAAATAAGACACTTCAGGCATTAGCCAGCTAATTTAAATTAGTTGTTTTCAAGTGTGAAAAAAAATACAGGACACACATTGACATCCATTAGAGATCTAACGGTATATCCAAGTAATACTGTGGTAAAAGGGTGAAGTGTGTAGTTTTCAACGTTACAATACTTTAAGGTAACCTGTTTGAAAACACCCATCCACACACACACCCACATACATACATACATACATATATAATACCTATATAGCAATGATGTTATTTGGTACAAAAATTACACACTTCACTTATAAGCTACATCGATTTATGATGAATAAGATATACCCAGAGGAGGAACGCTTGAAACGCTTAACAGTAATAGCAGCAAATGACACATCTCTGTGAACAGCACTTCAGAAGTTCAAGGAAAAGAGAACAAAAACCTTAATTTCTAACCTTAAATTCAGAATTACTGAAAATGAATATGTCTTATCTCAGGATAACAGAATAATTTTAAGAACCAGTAATGTGTAGGGTTGGGAATCGAAAATCGATTCCGATTCCAGAATAGGATACTTAAGGTCAGGAATCGGATACTTGATGTCAAATTAAAATTTCGATTCCGCCTATCGATTCCTATGCGCTTGTTTTTTTTTTCTTCATCTGTGAGAACCGGACCTAGCGATCTGCCAGGACCTTGCTCGCTAATCTAAGTGCTCCTGGGTGGATTCACAGCTGACACCCAAGCATGAATAAATGTTTTATTTATTAAGGACGACGACGACGACGATCAACGGCACAAAACATGCCTAAACAGCGCGCGCGCTGAGAGAGAGAGACTGCCTGAATTACTGAGCGCGTCCTCCATCAGGTTAAGTCATATTCATGAAAAAAATTAGTTTGCGATGTCCTAAGAGTAATGTTGTCGTGATATCCTAATCCCTAACCCCTCACGTCACTAGCTCCGCCCTTGCACCATAGCTCGTGACCGGAAGAG